TAATACAATGTTTGTCAACCCTTTAAACTTTAATCTATAGCAATACAAGTCAAAGGAATTCCATATTAGCAATAATACTCATATTTTGGTCACTTAGGCATTTTATCAAACATTTGGTGGGAATAAAGCTTCATAGACCTTATTGATGGTGTTTCTACACCCAACAAACCATTGTCTTGCTCCTACATAAATTCTAAAATCTCAAATTTCTTATAATCAATATCATTCTTCATCACCCTATGATAAACAACACCCTTAACCAATAATCAATAACCCAAACCTATAACCGTTCATGCTTTTCTATCAAACCCATCAACTCATATCTCATGAACTTAGAGTCTATAATCCTTAATTCAGTGCTATAATCAATTAGAGGTTGAAGATATTACCTTTTGACGTTCAATCCTCTTGAATTCGAGTTCTAGAGTTTCTTTTCTCAACAATGATGTCTCGATAGATATCTAATTATTTGAAGGGTTTACCCATGTTAATAAGGTGTTGGAGAATTAAAATTGACTTTGAACCATCACTAGAACTTACCTTGGATGATGGAGGGACCTTGGAGGAAGTTAGGTTCTTGAGAACTTCCCTTTCTAAAGCAAGTTTTTACGTTTCGGGGTGTGGGGGACGAAGTAGGGCTTTTAAAGTGACCCCCAAGGTGAGCTTCCATGAAGCTGAAGGCCCAAACGCGCACCTGAATGTGCAGCAAGGGCAGTAGCACTGCCAAAAGTGCACGACCACACACAGGACTAGCTGGGCACGTATACCGCGCATCGTTAAGTAAAATGTACATAACTTTTTGCATAGAGACTCGTTAAGGCTCCACAATATATTATTTGAAAGTTATTTCAAAGGGACAACGTTGGTGTTTTAAGTTTTCTATCCTAACATGATTTCATGAAATTAGGCTAGAAGACAGACATTCCATAAACTTAGTCAATACTTGTCGAATCTTATGCACCTCACTCTCCGTCTTGATTCCAAAATAACTATTTTCAACCATAATCATCCCAATAGGACTTCATATGTCTAAAATGCCATACTAATATTCATTTAACATGTTCACACCTAATCCGAATTTACTGTGTGTTACAGTTGCATCTGTTTCTTCTAGTACTTGGAAATATCTTATGCCTGATAGTATTTCGACGACTCTTCCCCCTAGTTGACTTCGCTCATTCGGGAGAAAGAGTCAGTTCTTGTAATTGCTATGCTGCATGCTCCTTACCATTGCTACTGGAAACTAAGATTATGTTCATCTCCCTTGCTATCGGTTGGTCGCCTCTTATTTGTTTAATTCCCTCGGGAGTTGAGAATTTCAGTAATTGATGGTATATTGAAGGCACAAACTTCATCTCGTGCAACCACGGTCTCCACAGAATTATATTATAACCCATATCGCCATCTACTACTTCAAAAAGGGTCGTCTTCATTATCCGCTTAGCATTTGTAGGAAGCAGAATCTCCCCTCGGGTAGTCACGCTTGCCAAATTGAACCCAGCGAGGAGTTTTGTTGCCAGAATGATACTTTCGGTCAGCTTGGCTTGCTCAAACACTCTCCACTAGATAATATTGGCCGAACTTCCCGGATCCACCAAAACACGTTTAATTGTAAATCTAACAAATTATGAGAGATTGCCAAGGCATCATTGTGCGGCAGCAGTAGTCCATCTGCGTCTTCCTCCGTGAAAATAATGTCGTCCTCAGCGAGTTCAGGAGTCTCTTACTGCGGGTTACTGATACCTTTGTCTTTTTTGACGCCAAAAATATCACACCATTAATCTCGTTCCTCCCGGAAATCATGTTGATCGTCATACAAGGAGGGTCTTCTCATGCTTTCGAGGGTTCCGCGTTATCACGATTGCGGCCGTAGTTGATTTTAGCTCGGTCGCTTAAGAATTCTCTGAGATGGCCATTCTTTAGCAATGTCGCCACCTCCTCGCACAAATGCCGGCAGTCCCCTATCCGATGGCCGTTGTCCTATGGTATTCGCACCACAAATTAGGATCCCTCTTACTGTGATTAGATCTTATTGTCTTCGGGAACCGTGCCTCCTTAATATTCCTCATAGCCGACACTAGTTCCACTACACTGACATTGAAGTTGTATTAGGATAGCATGGGGTAGGAGGAATCTCGGGAACCCGATATCTCCTTGTCCTGCAATGATCTGTTATTCCAGCCGCGATCAGCTATCTTATCAATAGTGAATATATCCACCGACCAGAAACCTATGCCGCATCCCTCGGCCCTTATAGGGAAAAAATCGACCTCTTGAAGACCGTCGATCGTGTCGAAATCATCCTTTGATTTTTCCTTATTCTTCTCCTGGTCCCGACCCTTGGTTGATGCCGGGAAACTGAGCTGATCATCCTCAATTTTTATCTTTGACTCGTACCAGTTATGAACATCCGCCCATGTTGTTGCCTGAAACTCGAGCAGACTTTCTTTTAATTTTTGGGAAGCATAAAAACTTCTCGGATTCAGTCCTTTAGTAAATATTTCAGCCGCTCATTCCTCTGGTACGACTGGTAGCAGCATCCTTTCTTTCTAGAATCTGGTCACGAACCCCGCTATCAATTCGGACTCTCCTTATGCAATCCTTAATATGCCAGCCTTTCGAGACTGTACCTTTCTAGCCGCGACATGGGCCTTGATAAAAGAATTCGCGAGCATCTCGAAGTAATCTATTGAGTGCTCGGGCAAGAGCGAATACTATGTCAGGGCCCCCTTCGTAAAGGTCTCCCCGAATTTCTTCCGTAAGGCTGACTCAATCCCGTGCGGAGCTAAATCGTTTCCCTTCACCGCCGTTGTATAGGTGGTGATGTGCTCCTGAGGATCCGAAGTCCCATCATACTTCGGCATATTAGGCATTTTGAACCGCTTCGGGATCAATTCTGGTGACACGCTTGGTTTGAACGGCAACTGCGTGTATTTCTTTGAGTCCAGACCTTTCAACACTGGTGGTGCGCCCAGAATTTGATCCATTCGGGCATTTATTTTCCTCATAAACCGCATGAGTTTGGTTTTAAAGGGATCATTCTTATCGTTTTTACCGGATCTGCTACCGTTCCCGTCAAAACCGACTCGCCCCTCGGATGCTGTTGTCGACTCTCTATGTTGTTTGGTTTGCGGGAGGAATTCGACCTCATCTATTTGCATTGTTGAAAGCACCCGACAACGCCTGCCTCAACTTTGTCATAACCTGATCCTATCGTGAGAAGTGGCCCATAATGGCTTTTTTTTTCTCCCTCAGGATCCGTACTGTTTCAGCGACGTGCTCTTCTTCAGCATCATCGGGAGTTGCCTCTCGAACATGTCGTGGATATTGCCTGCCATGGACTGGCGTGGCCTCATCTCCCTATGTAATAGATGCAAGGATCAACTCAATTACACAACTGTCTAAGCCCCTCGGTGGATGCCAAACTGTTTACCCGTAAAATGGTACCGTTGAATTTATACATGGTTTATAGACAAGTGAATCGCTATGATCCCAAAATGGCAAATAAATTAAACAAGAATGTAAGACTTAGCATTGAAATCGAGATAAGACAGCAGAAATTCTGGTTTGGGGAATAGAGTTTCCGGAGGCAATAGTAACGATATTAATGAGCAAGAAGGTAAAATATTATTGAACTCTGAACAGTGTATATTATGAGCTTGTCAGAAAATTCCTTCCTTATACAATGGTTGTTGAGCTCACTATTTATAATTTTTCCTAGGGAACAAGGTCATAGGATCAAACACCTCTTAAATGACAATTATGGGGGCCATTGAAGAATGTGTAACGGTAGGCAATGAATGTCATATTCTCTGTAACGGACTACATACTTAATGCTATAGAATATTCTCCATTAAATGCAACCGGTTGACAGGCATTTATTTTGCCTTTATGAGTATCATTCCCTTTGGGAACAAAAGGGATTGTTGCCTACGGACCTGATTGCCATTTGCCTCGCTTTTCATCTGCCTTCGACTCCACGTGTCGCTTTATTATGCGAGCATTTAATATGAACATACTTAACCATATACAACTTCAAACTTTTGGTTTTCCCCCATTCACACATCTTTATTTTATTAGATAAAACTCCAATACTTAAATTAAATTAGAATTTTGAGCTATGTGTTCAATTAAAACCCGTTGTACAAAATGGGACGAAGGGGTTTAAGAGGTATATATTTTTGGATTATTTAACGTATTTGAATGATCCAACACTTGACCATTTGAGGGGGGGGGGGGGGGGGGTAACATGCACTAATGTTTTTCGTTTGTATCTTTGATTTCAAAATAAAAGAACAGTTAAAGAAAAATCAGTTGAATGTTTTTAAAAGGGAACTAAATGGATACTTCCACACTTCGGACAACTTATTACTAATTTTATTAACCCGCCGTCTCATAAATATAATCCCTATATAATCTGAGATGGATTGATAAAATTTTGTTAACTATCAAATTCATACATTGCACGTACAATCTTGAAACAAGAAAACATTCATTACATCATTATTTTCAAAGAGGTATTTAAGAAAAGATTCATTTTAGGTGGTTTTCAGGTTATAACTTTTATTTTAGGTCTTTCATTTATGACCAAGGGCTGATATAGTATTTGGTCATAGGGTGTAATTAACAATATTTAGGAATAAATGTGTTTATACTAAGTTTACTCTAACCATCAAAAAGTATTAGTAAATATAGTGACATTTTGTATTTATTGATTAAAATCTTAATCCTCCCTTGTTTCCTATTGACTGCTATTTAGTCTTGTCTTTTCGGACTTTGTTTTGTTCAACCATCTGCAAGAGCAACAAGTTACTTCCTTTATTCGTCTTATGTGACGCAGTTTGATCAGACATAAAATTTAAAAATGAAAGACTTTTTTTAGATCAGTGGTCTAAAACAAGTCATAGATATCTGTGTGATTGTAAATCATCTCATTAAGGATAAAATAAAAAGTTTAAAATTAATTTCAAATATAGAAAGATGTTATTCTTTTTGGAACGGACTAAAAAGGAAACTATATTATATAACTTTGGACGGAGGGAGTACATAATTAATCTCATATATACTATTGAAATTGAGCATTCAAAATGTAAGAACTAAAATTTACAACTTATTGGTAAACTTGAAAAGATGAACTAACAACAATGCCAATGCACCTGACTTGAGAATAGTTGTTGCTGGAATCCCATACTTTCCTTTAGCAAATAACCCTTTCAAAAATGGCCAAAATATGAAAAGTACCCACATAATGCATATAACCTCTCCTAATCCCCATTCAAAATCTCTCCCTTGTTTGAAATCTAAAATCCCAATGAACAAGGAACTAAGGTTCAATAAGAGAATTGTAGTGCCAGGCACAAAAATTGGTGAATCATCAAATGTGAACCTTCCAATATTTAGAATTTATTTGTGTCATCTCCATCATTACCTTAGGTCTTTTTTTNAACCATGCTTTTATTGGCTCATTTGCTCTAACATACTCTGATAAACCATATAGATTGTAGACGATAAAGATTGATGCTGGTATAACCATACTTGGTTCATTTGCCTGCATATGTAGCAAATGAAGTTGATAGAGAGTAACCTTTGAGAAAACAAAAATAACAACAACATACCCAGTGTGATCCCACAAGTGAGATCTGGGAGAATGGGGTGTACGTGGACCTTACCCCTAACTTGTGTGAGGCAGAGAGGTTGTTTCCAATAGACCCTCAACTCAAGATTTTGAAATAATAAATATATAATTGCATGTAAATCCATAAGTTGCGACAAACTCCATGTCTAGAACATTGCCATGTTGACATTTTTAATGTCTTGATTTTTCACTCATTTAAGTTCGAAATCCATGACACAGTCATGATATTTTCGCATTAAAAAATGTTATTTTTCAACGATTTTTAAATAATGGCTATTTTTGAAAAGATGGTCAAAAAATGGCTAGCCCGTAAATTTTTCAAAGATATGTGTAATAGGCTAGGCCCAATACTCACCTTGGGTAAAAAGCTGGAATTGGTGATCAGGCAATAGGCAGGCAGAATAGCATAACAAACTTCAAAAATGGATCTCAAGGCCCATAGTTGGATATACAAATAAGCCATGCATTGTCTCAATTGAAGCTTTCCAAAAAGAGTTCCGATAATTGGGCTTTGACTGAAGAAAATAATTTCAAAAAGCCCAGTAGCCCATCTCTTCTGTTGGATCATTATAGCCGGCCCACCCGAAGGTGCACATCCAAGAAAAGCAGGCGGGTCGGGTGTACAGTAGGCGGATCTCCAGCCTTTCCCTTGGATAAAAAGCCCAGTGAGGACATCCTCTGTTGCAGATCCATATAGCCAGCCCAACTGAGACATTTAGACCCAAATGAGAAATTGTACAGTAAAATAATGGAGAAATTACGCGGCACAACAAACATATATGATAATTGAACAGTATGGTAATTATACAAACTATAGTTAAATATAGTAATTAGACTCTAAATTATAGTGCTTTATGAAAATTTCTCTAAAATAATCAAGTCTGCTGATACACAAAGTAAACTTTTTTTTATATTATCAATATAATTATTTGACATGTAATAGCAAGTTGTTTATCTTATTATACAAGTGGGTATAAGTTCTATGCACCGACGATGTAAGAAATTTACTCAATTAGGTCATTTAAAAAGTAAATTGTAGGCAACTCTATTTAGTAGTATTGATATTTAACTTGAATAATACAATATATTAAGCTACATTGATGATGTAAAAATCCATTGAACTGTTAACGTATATAATTATCTTTGTCAAATTACTAATTTCACTTATTATAATCAGTTAAAACGAATCATTTCTACTTACCTTTTGACCCCAGGCAGTACCAAATTCATATCCACAACTTCCAATTTGTTGTGCTTCCTCAATGGTACTCGAAAGAGAATCAGAATTAAGTTGCTCAATAATATTTGATCCTGCTGATAAAGTCTGAGCAACTGATGCTAATAACTTCTGTGATTTTCCATAAGTTTTCTGTAGATACTCATCCCTCAATTCTTCTAATTATCATGAAACAAGTTTTAAGTTAAGCAACTGTAAAATAAACTTTTTGAAATTTATTTTTTACTAGCAAAATGTTGTTAAGACGTCATATAAACGAAAGGGGTGCCCAAAAAAAAAAAAAGGAAAAACACAACGACTTAATTAATTAGTTTGCATACCAGTATTTATTTTTTCATTTGGCGACAAGCCATATATAATTTTTCGTCTGTGGAAACATCCTGTTCCTTGATAAAATGGCCCTTGAATGCCAGCAATTCCTCTTCCCAAATACTACCAAGCAGAAGACAAATGTAAATTAAAAAAAAAATGAATAAAAAAACATTTAATTAATGACCCATGAAAGTTCAGTCATAAAATGTAGTATTACAGCATATATATTTAAAGAAAATGAATGAAGAAAACATATAATGACCCATGAAAGTTGAGTCTTAGAATTTAGTATAAATGATTCATGTTTTTTTTTTTTTTTTTCTGTGAAAGATGAGTCTCAGAATAAAAAAAGGCAGTTCGGTGCACGAAGCAGTTTACGTTTATACAGGGTTTGCGAAAAGGCTGAACCCTAAGGGGATGTGATGTGATGTGATGTAGGCAGCTTACTCTAATAGCCTGTTTGGCCAAAAACTGAGGTGTTTGGCCAAGCTTTTGGAAGGAAAAAAAGTGCTTTTGAGGAGAAGCAGAAGCAGTTTTGGAGAAGCAGAAAAAAGTAATGCTTCTCTCCAAAAGCACTTTTTTGAGAAGCACTTTTGAGAAAAATACACTTAGAAGCAGTTTTTTAAAGCTTGGCCAAACACCAATTGCTGCTCAGAAGTGCTTTTCAAACTAATTAGCCAAACACAAACTGCTTCTCACCAAAAGTACTTTTGAGAAAAGTACTTTTGAAAAAAAGCACTTCTCAAAATAAGCTGATTTTTGCAGCTTGGCCAAACGGGCTATAATATAAGTATTACTAGCTGATGCCATAACTCGAACCCGTGATCTGTAAATCACCCGAAGATAACTTTATATTTGCTCCAAGGCTTCTCTCTATGTTTTTAATGAAAGTTGAGTCTTATAATGTAGTATTATAAATGATTTATGCTTTCTTTTTCCATTTGAATACATATGCTATAAAATGAGAATTATTTACCTCGTGTAAGAGTTTCAATTGGTTACCATAAGGATCATCTTTCAATCCATCGTAGAAGTATTGTGGAAATTGAACAAAACCACAATCTTTTTCATCCTTAGCACCAAGAAAATAACACATAGCATGTTGAACAACTTGTGGGTTATTTGCATACATATCACAATCCACATTCAGCATAAATGGAGCATTTGTCATCAATCCAGAGACTCTAGTCTGTTTGTCACCAATACAAACACGTCAAATACACAAAATAAATAAATCGAAAAAAGTAAAATTAATTAATAAAGTAACCGAAAAATTGGTATGATATAAACCAGAACATTCATGGCGCCTGCTTTGAAGTGATGGGGATGCTTTGGACGCTTCTCTCTTGAGATGTACACAAGGTGAGGCAAGCCATCAGCAATACCCTCCTTGTTTTCCAATATTACCTTAATTTCATACATCACAACTTGAAATAATTACTATACACTGAATATTAATATAATATAATATCATAAGTTATTTACTTTATTTTTTGCCTAGTTAAATTGTGTTTGTTATAAACAATGTACATATTGAAGCGTTTAAATTTTGTTCCTGCCAACTATATAGGTTTAAAATCAAGCTCGAAGATCCTTAAATTTATTCTTCAAAAAGAAAAATCAGAAAATCATAGAGATCATGTACACTCATATTACTCAGAAATAAAATACTATAATTGCTACAATATTTTTCAATTTTGAATATTTTTGTTACCTACATATATTATTGGAAGTATCTTAATCTAATGGTATAAAAATATTACTCTTTATTAGTGCAGAGAACTTATACATCCTCATAATTATAATTGTTCATGTCATTCGGACTAGATTTTTTTGAGGTGTAATCAATAACAACTGCTAATACGTTCCAATACTAAACAAGTAGGGATTAACTCTTGTCACTGATCTTGTTCACTATTTAAATTCATTTCAAGTCAATATCTAAAAAAAATAATAAGATTGAAAAAGTACAAAAAGTTCTCTATATTTCATACTAGCATAAAAATTTCTAGTGGCTAAAAGACTCTTAAAAAATATTGAACCTAAACTAAACATATTAACATAACCAAAATAAATTCTCATAAATTGATATCGCTTATATAAATCTTTATATTAGATGTCTAGTTTTAATTTGAGAATAAGGAATACAAATAAATAAATAAATTTTACGTACGGGAAAACAGAGGCGGATCCAGGATTTTAAGTTTATGGGTTCCTGTCGCAATTTCAAATTAATATACGATAATAACCGGGTTCACAAATAGATATTTATAGATATTTAATATTTTTTTTAACAAAAATACAGGGTCTACGCAAAAGTTACTGGGTTCCCGGGAACCCGTATCTTACACCCTAGATCCGCCCCTGCGGGAAAACAAAAGGAAAATGTCATTAAGACGAATAAGGAGATACGCAATTCATAGTGAGGATGCGTATGCAACAATGAGTTGTTCTAATCGAAGTTGACCGAAAATGACAAAGCAGAGGGAGATAGTGTACTTTAGTTGAATATGATGAAATACATATAGAATTAAGTAATGATTGTGATGGGATAAATAAGATCTTTGGTCTTTTATATGAAATCTTGGTTTCGAGCCCTATGAATATAAAAAATACTGGTAGGGAGCACTTCTATTTTAATAGGTCTTATGCGGCGCGAAGCCAGAGTAGTTAATGTCCTAATGCGGATATCGAATATTAAGTGAAAACAAAAGAATAAACGTAAAGCTAAATAGAAAATTTATCTGCGAGTATATTGAATTATTGCAATATTTTCTTTGTCTTCTTGTGATATTTTTGAATTAGAAAGAGGAAATGAAAACTTTCCCAAAGAAAGAAAAGAACAAGAAACATAAATAAATAAATAAATAAATGAAAAACCTTTATAATGGTGGGATGGTTTTTGCGTTCAATTTTTGAGAAAACACCAAAATCTCCTGCAAAATCACATGCCTCTGGTTCTTGTGTACTTGCATCTTCAATCTTTTCACACAGCTGTTTATATTCATCCTGCCATTTCCAGACAAAAAGTATTTACTACTTATAACACAATTATTAGACCAGTACTAGCAATTCTTCTTTTATATTTGCAGCAACGTACTACTTTTAGCACAATTATTGCACCAGTATTGGCAATTCTTCTTTTATATATATCTAGACAATTAATTTTAGGAAGTACCTTCTATACGTAAATATCAATGCATCTTTAATTGACGAGCAAAAATTGGAAATTATAAAACTATTTCTGAAATACCTCCGAATAATTTATTTAATTTACTCCGTTAATTTATAATAATCACGAAGTGTACGAAATAAATAACGATTTTTGGTAAATTATGTTCTTAAATATGACATAATATTTGTGTGACTTTAAGAATTTAATACTTATAGTTTAACATATGTTATGACTGAAAACGCTACTCATCAGATAAAATGAGAAGTTTAAATTAAATTATTTTTAAATTTAAAATGATTCATTCTTTTTGAAATGAACGCTAACAAAAATATCACTTAAATCGAAATGGAGGGAGTAATAAAATAATTTAGAGAACAGTTAGACAATTTGTATTATTATTATAAACCTTAAGACTTCCTGCAATTTCCAAACCAGAAAAACACACTACAAGATGTATACTAAAAAATATAAAATTGGAAAAAATTAAAAGATGCAAATATTAAAGTACTAAGCCAAAATATAAATCTTCTTTATAACCAAAAGTTCCTTGAAAAGAAATACTCATAGAAATGAAAGTTAGGTTAAAGCATGTAACAAAATATAGTATAAAATAAATAATTAATTAACATACCTTCATCCTTTTCCAATCTTCCAAGAACCCTTGTGAACTATCTTGGGGTGGCGATAAGTTGGCATTAAAATATCGAAAAGGGGCTCTAAGTGCAATATTATACTTCTTACAAAAAGGAACCCAAAGCTTAGCAAATTTAGCTGCTTCAACAAGTGAATAATAGGTAATAGGTGATGCACCATCATCAGAGACATAACAAGCTAGCTTATTAGCTGGATAATCCACTGCTAATAATGATAACATTGTGTTTACTGTTATAAGAGGCGGCTCTAGGACGGGATCTGCAGTTGTAATCAACATGTCCACTGCAGGAAACTCTGACGTCCTGCAGATTTATATTGTCGATGTATATAAGTTAAATCCTTAAAAAAAAATCAGAAAAAGCGTCAAAAAGTTAGATAATGGTACCTTTTCAAAAGGCGTAGAGGATATGTTTTTGGTTCGACTTGATTCCATTTGGTGCTGACGATGAGAATCCAAAGGAAAGCGAACCATGATTCACATATAAGAGCTAAGAAGAATGGCAAATTTAAACCATGGTTTTTAAGAGAGAGGAGTCTATAGGCTAAGAGCGAGAACAATAAGAAAAGAATGAAGAGTTCTATTCCTCTTGAAATAACGTTTTTTCGATACTTAACTTCGTAAAGAGGAAGAGATGGTGTTTGGGGCGCCATTGGTGAGAAATAGTATACAAACACTACTTATTGGAAATGGGGTTTTCCTTTATGCTTGTCAACCTACATATTTATAGGTGAAAATAGCACGACCCAGCCAATTTTCGGACTGATAATTGAAAAATAGTCATCATTTGTAAAGTCATTAAAAATAGTCACTTTTGCTAAAACACGAAAAGTTCCAGCACAGTATGCTAGATTATGGAGCTCCTGCATATAAACTTCCAGCATATATATTATGTTGGAACTCCAGCATGGACAATGCCAACATAATATATATGCTGGGTTATGGATCTCTTCCATTTAAACTTTCTCGCATACTATGTTGGAACTCCAGCACATTATGAAATTCCAGCATATTATACTGGAATATCATATGTAAAAAATTCGAACTCTAGCATATTATGCTGAAAATTTGGATTTTTAAGGGTGTTTTTGTTCAATTATATCTTTACATGAAAAAGTTACTAAATTTCGATTAACTTTAAAATTGTTGCTATTACCGATTGTAAATTTGGCTATTTCTGATTTCCCCCCTATTTATAGTATTGTTATATATAACTTTTCATGAAACTTCGAAACTAATGATCTTTTTCTCGGTTGGTGCAAAATTCAACGATAAAAGAGTGTGATAAAATGGATAGATCTCTTTGTAACTAGATGTATCGAGTTCGTGCTGATATTGAAATAATATGAGATTTTTACCTTCCTATACCATATATGAAACCTTATTACCCTCAATGTTTAAGATTTGTGTTAATTACATTTCAGTATACCAAATTACCATTTATATACCATAATTCAAACTAGGGATATAATTAAGGGTGCATTTATATTAGGCGCTATAATTAAGGGTGCGGTTATTTTCTGACCCTTCAGCCGTAACTTAAAAAAGTTATGAATTTCTTTCTTTGCTTCTTCTTCCTATTTGTCGTGTCCGGCTAATGCAAATCACAGCAAATGAAACAAATTACCTATTTTTGCTTGCTTTCGCTGAGATTCAAATATTTGTATTCGAATTTTTTGTGTATTTTGTTTTTTATAATGATGGTAAGTTATACCTTTGAATGAGAATGACTTCATCACAGGTCTATGCATTCTATAGTTTTGTCTTCTACTTCCAAGAACTGCACTCAGATCTATAGTTAATTTTCATAAACAAAACATACCTTCTTTTGTAGATAAATTGTAGAAAAATTAGAAAAATTGTAGATAAATTGTAGACTGTTTTTTGCAAAAGATTTTGTAGAAGCTTTAGTCGTTTTGGATTTGTAAAAACAGAAAACAATGCATCTACAATCAGAATACAAATAATCTACAATTTATCTACAAGATATCTACAAATTGGATACATTGAATTTTAATATCCCAATCCCCATTTCAATTGTAGCATTATTGGCATTATTTCGGCAAAATTATAGAAGATTTGTAGAAGTTTTAGTCTTCCCAATCTACAATTTATCTACAATTCTACAATTTATCTACAATTTCTGGAAATATGTCTTCTTCTTCTTCGAGTTTCAATCTGAAATTCAGTCAAAACCAAGTCTAATCTTCACCAAAACCCCTCAAAATTGAGATATAAACTCCAAACCATATTCCCGATTATTTTCAACAACACCCAATCCAAACAAATAATGATTTTTGAAAAACCAAATTTGAATTCAAAGCTTTCAAGCTTTTAAATGGCTAACAATGGTGGAAAATATATGGAAGAACAGATGAAGATGAAGATGAAGAACAGAAATCTCCTTTCCGTTTCAAAATTACGCAGCTTCGAGATCTCGTTTCCGTTTCAAATTTTGAATTTAATGTGGAATAAATCAATCCCAGATTCTGTGGCTGATTTTTCGCGCGCTAAAAATGGCAGATTCTGCCTAAATAACGGATGGTATATAAATTATAGATAAACTGTGGACTGGGCGCGTAATATACATACTATGCACATATTTGATAATAAGGTTTCATATATGGTATAGTTAGGAAAAAATCCCTAATAATATCCTATAGGAAGCGGTTCCTCTTTAATGGGCCTTCTTAGGTGAGTGGGTTCTACATAGCAAATGATTATAAGAAAAGAAGAAAAAAAAAAAGAATTTTCATAAATCACTATAGTTTAGAGCCTAATAACTATAATTTGCGCTACTATTCAATTGTTACTAATTTGTATTTAAAAAGCGCAACGAATAAGCCTATGTCAATCGTATCCAATCGCGCAATATGAGATTCTAACTCAAGACCTTTACTAGCTAAGCAGGCGTGCTAACCAACTAAGCTATGAGAGCAACAATATGAGAGCTTGTGGTCCTCTTATTTCAGTTAAAAATAATTAATCTCTTATTTTATAGATTTGTTGTAAAATTCAAATATAGCTACAAACGATAAATTTGCTGAAAGTATAAAATGGTAAAAACAGTGTAAATATTTGATGTGCCGCGTAATTTTTCCAAAAAAAAAAACTAATGATTTTTACCGATTAAAAATAGCACTTGCAGAGATTGCAGTAACGATTTGTTTTTAGTGATATAGGATAATTCAAGGTCCATTTCGATGACAGTTTTCTCTTGTTTCCATCAGAGATATTTGGATAAATAAGAAATTCACTAGCCACTGAAACATTTCAGCACTTTAGGGGTCGTTTGGCTTGAATATAAATTATACTAGGATTAGTTTCGTAGCTATTATTATTAATTATTGAATGTTTGGTACGTTGTATTAATCCTGAGATTGTTAATTTTACTGCTTTATCCCGCGATATGTTTATTCTGGGATTACTATTCCACAATTTCAAAAATGTAAGTTATTTCGGTACTATTTTTAATTATACCGTAACTTATCCTAGGATTTAATAACCAAACAAGGAATGAGGCGGTACTAAATTTTTATCCAAAGATAATTTTTGATTATCTATCGTATACCAATATCATTGCACACATTGATTTAAAAAGTGTTAGTTTTGCAAGTATATCGTAATCTTCGATAGATGATTCATTTTAAACAACGCTCAAGTCTTACATGTGTTCACCACGTTACGGACAACCATCATTAATGTATACACTACTAATTAAGGAAATTTTCATGCATCCATACACGTCAGTTTGGCAACCAAATAGTCATTATTTGAACCACAATATCACAAATTTGAATCTAACTATAGTCTACGTGCTCAGTTGGATTTCTCTCTTTCCTGATAATTATGTCAAAAAAAAAAAAAATACATCAAAGATTGATTCTAACTACGGTTTATGGTCTAGGTTTTTTCAGCTTTAATTTTTTCACAATATTAGAATTTATAAACTTCTTCTAGAACTTTGCTCGCTTAAACCAAACTTATATGATGCCAAACAAAGGGAAAAAAGAGATAGCCATCTATTTCAAGGAAGGATAGCCTCACAATGTTTGTGTTATTTTTGCAAGACAAGGAGCATAAAAGTGCAAAATGAGAGCAAAGAGCAAAGAGGGACCTAATATTTTAGGATAATAATATTAATCCGGTGAGAGATTTCTGGCCATACAACTTTTTTTTTTTCCTTTTCCTTTTTTTTTTCTGCAGCCAAAAAGCGGGCGGCTGTACGTTTCTCATGTTGTCATGCATGATGTATATTTAACGCTACAAGTTACTAGGAGTATCAGTTAAGGTATTATTTGGAAGGATTTAAGCAACATATAAACATTTTATAACAAGTTATTTAATTACTCTATTTTTTATATTAACGATCTTGTATAATGAATAATTATATGTTGTTGAAGGTGCGGGGGTGTGGGGAAGGGGTCCTATCTATTGAATTATTCAGACTATTGATGCAAAAGATTTATAAAACCTGAAACAACTTTTGTGAGTTCTTTCAGTAGTGATCGACTTTATTTAATTAGTTGTATTATTAGTGGCTTAGCTGTTAGCTGTCTAAAATCTATATTGAATAAAATCTCTTAAAAGTAAATCACTAATCCGCCTTAGGTGCTTTTTAAGTCCGTGTAAGGCGGAGGGAATGTAGGAAGCTAAAAAGTCGTAATGCAGTAGCGCTAGCAAGTTAGCGCAACAACTTAGCGTCTTTGTTTTCTTCGTTGCTTTCTTAACATAAGGTCTTTTGAAGCTAGAATTAATTTTTCTTGACACCTAATAATAATGCAAGAAAAGAATCATTGAGTAATCATAGGGTAACATGAAAATTCTTAGCAAAACCTTCTATAATATGTTATATTTTTCCATAGAAATATATTCGTTCAAGAAGGCTCCAACATTATGAGTTCGGAGTATGCATTATATATATTAGAAGATCCATTAAAAATGTACAAATACTTAATTATGAATCTAGTAACTAAAATGAAATATGAGTTTAATAATAAGTTCAGAACCTGTAAACTTCTTATCATTGGAAGTCAATTTTAGTTGATAGTGTAAATTAAAAACTTTTACTTTGTCAATACACAAAAGTTAAACTCTATTTTGAAAGGCTGTAGAAATCAGAAAATGATTGTCCTGTATACCTAATAAAACGAGAAAATCTTATCATAATTGTCAAGCATAGTAATTGAGTAATTTCTATAACCCCAATTTTGACAAAAACAATAACAACAACAAAGTTAGTATAATCAGATAAGTAAAATTTGGGGAAGGTAATATATACATGCCTTTACCCTTCCTGCAAAAAAAAAAAAAAAGTAAAAATACGAATTGAGCTTCTAGATCTTGTCCCCACTGTAGTCACTCTATTGGAAGTACAAAAAGTGAAGAATTTGTTTGTTTCTTGATCTTGTTTCATGCGCATCTTGTAGAGTGATAAGGGAAAGTAAAGGTTAGTCGACATGTTCTGCATCTCCCCTTGTCAATAATACAGGCAACGATCCATAAACGTTTTAATCATATATAGGTGTAACGTCTATTTAACTACGCATGCATGTTTCTTACTTATTCATTTGTATTACCAAATATTAGGTTCTAGACCTAATATCTGTTTATGCTTTGGATTTGGACTGAGTTCTCATTATATATATATATATATATATATATATATATATAAATAGAATCCTATTTATGGTGAATGCCA